TTGCTACAAAAAAATGTATATTGATACATAACAATACACAGTTAGCCTATGAGGTCTGATCTATAAGCATCATTGATCGTGACTGGAATTTCCGGAAAACAGCAAGACAGATATAGCTGCTCCTACACGCAAGCTCAATGCCAAACGGCAAGAGGGTTGTTTGTGTTGCTATTTTCCGTACGACAGGGCAAAGTGTGAGCTTTGTGAGGTTTTGGCGACTCACTGCTTCCCGTATATGCGTAAACGTTGGGAATAAACACTGTCAGCCGCTGCATCACTAACAGGAATAAGAAACATTGAACTATGTTGTCTATAAAATTTGAAGAGAGTGATCCACACTTGCATGGGATTTTGAAATGAAATAGGCATCTTCAAGATTATTTGATGCAGTTCACAGCCCTGCCCATCTTAAGACCCAAACCCTATTTGTTTCAGAGCTACACGCCCGCGAAGATGTGCAGACTGTTTTGGGATTTGGGCTTATTTGGGAAACTATTTCAGGGTCACGCACGCATTTATAACAACATAATAATGTGATTTAAATCATGCCACTCCGTTGGCCATGCGGCGATCACTGCCAAGAAAAATATATTTGTCGAGTCGTTCATATATGGTGTTAATGAGCACGATTTCCAGACGTAACGGCCATCATCGACTCCCAATGGTGTGCGAGGTGCGATGACGTAACCAAACAATGATATATCGAGGAGCATTTTTACTAAACATAAATTGTGTTGTCTGGGGCAGTCTTTTCCACTGAACTATGCCAACACTTATAAGCCAACCTATTGCATGATAGCTGATGCTTGTGTCAATATCTTCTAACGTGGAGCATTCCCTTGAGCTCTCTCTGCACGTGCGCCACGTAACACTTTACCTCTTCCCGGCAGGTACGGCCCAGTACCAGTGCAGCATCTGCAGTCGCTGGTACACCAACCAGCGCTCGCTGGTGTTCCACATGCAGAAGCACCAGGGCCTGAGCACGTGTCCCGTGTGTGGCCGTGTGTGCAGCATGGTGCACAACTTACGCCGGCACATGTACACGGTGCACAAGATGTCCGCCGGCCAGGTGTCCTCCCTGCTGCGTCCTGGTGGACGAGATGTCGCAGGGAGGTTGCCGGAAGCCGTCACTGAGTCCCGGATGAACCCAATGTTAGAAGTGCCAACCCGATCAACCTTAAACAGTGCACGGGAAATGTCGAAAGCGGAGTGATGACCGATCACGAGCCGAGACCGGCTAACAGTGTGTCATAATTCGAAAGGTGGTAGACGACACTTTTACGAACGATTCCTCTTCTTCAGTTTCGCTCTCTTTTCTTAACATTCTTATTCATGTCTAGCCTCACAATCTCACTCGCATGGGTCTCATATTCATGGATATATTTAGGTTGTCAACTTATTTCTTTCTCCTTTGGGGCTTTGGTGCAAACGCTTTGGTCTCCTCACCTTTTATCGAGGCCCTTTTTACGCTAACGGCCGGTCTTAATGGTGAGGAGCCCTGTTCGCCGTCTCACCGACCGCAATGTTCTCGGATGCTGCGCATGCGCATTGCACGCGTACTCGGTGCGGGTACGACCGCGTATCAGTGGCGTTATCAGCACCGGCAGGCTGGGTCTGGGTCAGAGGCCGAACCGCGGCTGCGCTGGCGGCGCCTGTGCCGTGCCGTCTGGGGCGAGTGCGGACGGCGCGAAGCGGGCGGGCTGGATCCGGTATAGATGGCGGCACGGCTGTCTGCAGCGGCGTCAGCAGGCCGTCAGCAGCGACCTCTGTCGGCTGTCAGCAGCGACCTAAGGCGGCTGTCAGCAGCGATCTCTGGCGGCTGTCAGCAGCGACCTCTGCCGGCTGTCAGCAGTGGCGTCTATCGGCTGTCGGCAGCGACGTCTGTCGGCTGTCAGCAGCGGCGTCTGTCGGCTGTCAACGGCGGCGTCTGTCGGCTGTCAGCAGCGGCGCCTGCCGGCTGTCACCGGGGACCTTGCATCTGTGTGGTGACGGCCGCCCGCGGCCTGGCGAGTAGCACTGTTTGCGACGGTTTCACGACCTTGACTTGACGTCAGTAGAGCTGTTGTTGGCGCGATGGTCCTCGGTTGTACTGCGGAGCCGGCTGATTTGCGGTGGCCTTCGTCAAGTAGAGGGGCATGCGCGCTGGCCAGGGACATGCAAGCTAGGCTAGATATGATTTCAAGTGATTTTATTCAAGTGATTTAAGTGCCGACGTGGCGCATGAATGCTGTTCTCGACAGCAATGCGTGGTGTTTGATCAGTATTTGCTGTTAGTGCAAGTGCGTTTCCAGCGTTCTACCTTTTTAGACTACTGTATCTTTACGCTACATTTGTTGTGTTATGCGACCCTTTTGATAGTTAATGGTTCTCCCGTTCCATTCTTCTGTTTGGAAACAATAAAATCGATCGGCTGTTGGTATCCGTGTTCCACCACAGCCGTCTCTACCACAGCTGCGTTCCACTACAGTCGTCTCTGCCACAGCTGCACTATACCATAGCTGCACTATACCGCAGCTGCACTATATCGCAGCTGCACTCCAACACAGCCGCACTATACCACGGCCACACTATACCACAGCCGTACTATACCACAGCTGCACTATACCACAGCTGTACTTTACCACAGCTGCACTATACCACAGCCGTACTATACCACAGCCGCACTATACCACAGCTGCACTATACCACAGCTGCACTCCGCCACAGCTGCACTCCACCACGGTCGGGGTCGCAGCTGTAGTCCAGACTGGCAGGAGCTGGGGAGCACGAGTACTGCGAGGCCATTATCGCCCGCGGACGCCATCTTCTGACGCGTTGCTGTCTCAGCTCAACGTTCGGAACGGTTAGCCGAAGCGGGAATATTACCAACTGTTTTATTTAAGCGAAAGATGACTTACATTTAGTATGTAAATCTTGCAACACAGGCGGAGTTAATGCAGGGATTCGCTGCATACCCAGAATTCAGCCAAAGCAAACAATACGGTGTTGCGTTTGCAAAGAAGAACATCCTAGTGTTCAGTGAGCTATTTCGATGCAATACTCACCCGCACATGGCAATGAAAGAAATGGCTCCAGCAGAAAATAGTGTAAACCGGTAGACAATTTCCGCGGCTTAACCCTTCTGAAAGACATCCAAGTAACGACCGCCGGGCAGCAGGATTGTTCAGGAGGTTTACCGTGTGTTCAGAATCACAGCTTCCGCGTTTTTGTTGGCAAGGCATACTCAGCGTCAGGTTATAAGGTCGCCGAGCACTGAGTGACGTCATCACAGTGGGTTTAGATGACTGGCGGCAGGAGTACGTGCGCTGCGCGTGACATACGACCTCGTACATGATCCTGGTGTTGGATGTTGTCCATGAAAAAAAACGAGGACAAGACCAGACGACCGGACAATGGTGACAAGGATCATGAACAGAAAAATCCGCAATTCGGTCTCAATGGTTGAGCCCTTCATGATCAAACGGAAGGAATATCCGGACCTGCTCATGTTCGCTAGGACACCCGTACCAATTACATTTTGAATGAGTATAAGACGCGTGAAATGTATCCATCCCTGATGACTCCATGTTGCGTTCAGATGACCTTGGTTGACCTTGCCGCCGCACGTCCACGGTGGCGGGTACCACAGCTCACTCAAATTCTCTGATCTGCAGAGCCACCAGGCTGCCGGACATCTTGTTCTTGCTTCCCTCCAGCTTGCCAGTTGCTGGCTTCTCGTATCGACCTGCCGACGAGCCATGAGCTTGATTGTTACACATGCGGCATTCTTTTGAGGATGTCAGAGGCGTTCTCTATAACCCACTGGCGCCGTTGTCATTGGGGCGTTACGACACAGTAAGCTTTTGAGGCTATATGGCGCCGCCTGTCTCTCATCCTTGCAGGAAGGGTGGACCCCGTGGGTAATCGAACTTTGTATCTCCGGTTTCTCGGACACGCAGCGCTCAGCGCAGACGCGGTAATCGCTTCACTATCGGCACCCTTAGAACCCACTGCTGGGGAGACTGAAGACGATGATGATTTGGGATTTCGGGTGCACAGACTGCGTTGGTCATATGGCGCCCATAGCCTACTTTTTTTAACAGATGCGTGAAAAGCGAGGAGGTATGGCTACGTCCGATATATTGCATGGAATTATATCTCTTCAAGATAACTAAAAATGTGGCCGTCATTTACTAAACTCGAGTCGTCTCCTAACATAGCGTAGAGCGTTTGGCACACGGAACCCTATCCAAAATGGCGCATGCGTTCCGATGCGAGGTGGGCACAATCCATTAGGACATGTTTACGGTGTAATGATCCCCGCAGCGAGGACATCGCGGTTGGTCTTTCCCACATAACAGGTATCGGTGAGTTGCGTATGTGTATCCTATTCTCAGGCGGCATAACGTCACTTCATCCCGCCTCACTTTACGACAGCTGGACGCCCATGGTCCCAACCGGGGCTTTATCTCCTTTAGTTTATTGGCAGCACGCGCATCCCAGTTCGCTTGCCACTGCCTTAACATGAATGCAGATACTACTGCACATAGGTCGTTAACTGGGACTGCCACAGTAGGGATGCGAGTTGCATGTGTGCCACGCCTTGCTGCGGCATCAGCTACTTCATTGCCCGATATGCCAACGTGGCTCGGTATCCAGCAGAACACCACCTGCTTCCCGGATTGGGGCAGTGTAGTAAGAAGAGTTAAAACGTTCTGAACGATGTGATGTGATGAATCCAAGTCCTGCAGTGCCAAAAGGTCACTAAGAGAGTCCGATAAAACTAGGTGTTGATCGTCACTGTCAACTTCTATGAACTGGAGTGCTTTAAGGATGGCTACTAGCTCGGATGTAAAGACCGATGCGTGACCAGGCAAAGCAAAAGACCGTGTGACAGGACCATGTACAAAAGCACATCCAACACTGGTATCCACTTTCGAACCGTCCGTGTAGGTCTTCTTGTGATCCGGGTACGACGCGATCAGCTCCAAAGACCTCAGCCGAAACTCATCCGGAGACATCCGCCCCTTCGCGAAATGGGAAAGTGAGACATCCACCGCTGGTGGGTAGAGCTTCCAAGGAGGGGTCTCAGGAATTTCCCAACGGATCACATGCCGTGTGCGAATACCACATTCTCGCAAGAGCATGAACATCCTCACACAGAAAGGTGCGATCCGATGTCCTGTCCCAGTCAGAAACGTGCGTATTGTTCGGCGGGAGAAGACCTACTTGTATGTTGGGCGATCGGGGAACTGTGCCAACTTACAGGCGTATTTCATGCCTAATATCTTTCTCCTAGTGGACAAAGGGGGTTCGTGGGCCTTAACAAGAAGGCTCGCTGTCGGAGAGGTCCTGAATGCACCTGTTGCGATACGTAAGGCAGTATGATGTATCGTGTTCAATGAGCGCTTTACTGACTCACAAGCGCCGTCATAAACAAAAGAAGCATAGTCGAGCTTGGATCTGATAAGAGAGCGATAGAAGGGAGAGACTGAAGCAGGTTCAGTTTGTACTAAGACCAGAAGCGCTAGATCTACGTGCGACACTATATACTATACTGGCGCATTTCCTATGTTACCAGCGGGGACAGGAAAGCCAAGAGCACAGAAGGACGTGCTACGAACCACTTTGTTTAAAGGGATTGAGTGCGTTTTTGCCCACAAAATGAGCTGGCTCCAGAAAGGGGCAGATCAAGGTAATAGAAGTCAGAAAGCAACTGGGGCAAAATGGTTTCATCTGCACCAATGAACGTTCCGAAATGCAACGCACCGTGTGCTTCCACTCCTTTAAGCACATTGTACTTTAACTTTCTCCTCTTACTTTCGTATTTTCCGCGTACTTTTTCCACAACCAGCTGACGCAATGTTGTTCTTCGAGAAGTTAACAAAAATAGCTCGTTTGTAGCAGAGAACTCAAAAAAGATTTCCTTTGTATCGCATTACTAAGTTATACCGTTATAGCATGACATTTGATGCCTACGTAGAATACGCACTTTGTTTCTTACCTTGATGTTGAAGTCAGGTGGTTTCTATGGCATGGTTTGACAACAGCCTTGATGAACTACTCACCTTCATCGACCAGCATTGCCAACTGCCTAGGCTCCAAAGCTAATGATTACTCAAATAACGGAATAATGACCAGTGGCGTCGCTCATAGTGCTCTGATAGTGATCTAACGTGGTGCTCTGACAGTGCTCTGACAATGGTGCTCCGACCTGCTTGTAACTTAAATAAAAGCACCATGCCGCATTCCAGTTCAAAAAGGAAACCTGTGCAATGCAGCTTTTCTGATTAGCTTTTTGCAGGCATTGGCGATACCAGACGTGGTCTGTACCGGCTTCTGACGTGCAGAGTAAAGTTCGCGTCGGATTGGACGGGACGCATTCGGTGTAAATGCAGGGGAGATAGAAGAGATGCCTCCAAATGATGCCATGCAGATGGGAGAAAGCATCACATTTATTGCCACTGATTGATGCCTTGCTGGTTAACTGCGTTACTCCCACCGTGCTACTCACACCGTGTTACTCGTATTGTGTTACTGGTACCGTGCTACTCGTACCGTGTTACTCGTGCTGTGCCACTCGTGCCGTGTTACTGGTACCGTGTTACTGGTGCCGTGTTACTCGTACCGTGTTACTCGTACTGTGTTACTAGTACCGTGTTACTCGTACCGTGCTATTCGTGCCGTGTTACTCGTACTGTATTATTCATACCGTGCTACTCGTGCCGTGTTACCCGTCCTGTACTGTACTCATGCCGTATTAATCGAACCATGTTACTCGTACTGTATTACTCCTGCTGTGTTACTCGTACTGTGTTACTCGTACCGTGTTTCTTGTACCGCGTTACTCGTACCGTGTTACGCGTGCTGTGTTGCTCATACCGTGTTTCTTGTACAATGTTACTCGTACCGTGTTACTCGCACCGTGTTACTCGTGCCGTGGTATTCGTGCCGTGTTACTCGGACCTTGTTACTCATGCGTGTTACTCGTGCTGTGTTGCTCTTACTGTGTTACTCATATCGTGTTACTCATACCGTGTTAATCAAGCCATGTTACTCATGCTGTGTCACTCTTGCTGTGTTGCTCATACCGTGTTTCTTGTGCCGTGTTACTCGCACTGTGCTATTCATACTGTGTTACTCGTGTTGTGCTGCTCATACCGTGTTACTCATACCGTGTTACTTGTACCGTGTTACTCGTGCCGTGGTGCCCGTGCCGTGTTACTCGTACTGTATTGCTTATATCATGTTACTCATACCTTGTTAATCGAACCGCGTTACTCATACCGTGTTACTCGTGCTGTGTTGCTCATACCGTGTTTCTTGTACCGTGTTACTCGTACCGTGTTACTCGCACCGTGTTACTCGACCCGTGGTATTCGTGCCGTGTTATTCGCGCCGCGTTACTCGTACCTTGTTGCTCGTACTGTGTTAATCATGCCGTGTTACTCATACCGTGTTAATCAAACCGTGTTACCCATACTGTGTTACTCGTACTGTGTTGCTCATACCGTGTTTCTTGTACCGTGCTACTCGTACCGTGTTACTCATACGATGTTACTCGTGCTGTGCTGCTCATACCGTGTTACTCATACCGTGTTACTCGTACCGTGTTGCTCGTGCCGTGGTGCTCGTGCCGTGTTACTCGTATCTTGTTACTCATACCGTGTTACTCGTGCTGTGTTGCTTGTACTGTATTACTCATAACGTGTTACTCATACCATGTTAGTCGTACTGTAGGGCTCGTACTGTATTGCTCATGTCGTGTTACTCGTGCCGTGTTACTTGTACCATGTTACTCAGAATACTGTCACTCAAAACAGTATCACTTGTCGATGTTAGCTTACTCGTATTGTGGCATTCAAACCCTATCACTCATGCCTGGGCGATGAGAAAGGCTAAAGTAAGAAAGCCTTTGAGCTCCTTGTTGTTCGGCGTTATGAGAGTAGACTTTCCACGTTGGCACTGGCCAACACTCAGTATGCCAGGAGGTCCCGGTTTGGTGACGTTGTACCAGGAGGTACTGGTCCGATGACGTTATCAAGCAAACATGGATTGCATTGTCAAGACAAGATGTTTCGGGGGCCATGCTGACTGGCGACCAACACCACAGCCTAAAACGTCGTGCATTGACAAGATTTACAGTGCTTGCAGGATGACATCGCTTCAATCTCGCCCCAATTCGCCGCTTTTCATAATGTGAACTGATAAGGGGCGATGCGACCCTCCTGGTATTTCAAAAGTAATGACGGCAGGGCTCAGTGGAAAACACCAGGGAATTTTTCTCAACGAGGTATCCGATTGGCACTGGGTCTGATGCTGTTAGGTCAATCAGCCTCATTATGCCAGGTCCAAATCATTTTTTTGTAAAATCGTGCTTTTCAGCTTTACATCATACATACGAGACCACGCATTGTGGCGACACAAAACCTAAGCAGGTGCGTATTGTGCTCCATTTTGAGTACGATGGTCTATATTTGTATGTGCTCTGAGGAAGTATTTGTGATATACGTCTCCGTTAAAGATGCTGTTCCACATTTGTATGAGGTCTTGAACTGAACTAGCCAGTTTGGAAGTCATTTGGTGCAGTTCGCAACCCTGCAACTCTTAAGACCTAAGCCACCCTAGTTTATAAGCTACACCGGAATGCCCATGTGCTCACTATTTCGGGGAGACTATTTCAAGGTAAGTCAGACATTCATGATATCAAAATGTCGTCATTGAGAGCCTGCCATTTCATGAGCCATGCGGCAATCAAGGCCGGGAAAATATAATTATTTTCGAGTCGTTTATATCTGATGTTCGTGGCCACGATTTCCAAATACAACAGCTGGCAATCGGCTCTCAATCTACGTGCAAAGAAAAATAGCGTACTCATACAGTGACGTAATGAGAAACATATTTGCTACACATATCAATCTTGTTTTCTACAGCAGCCTTCTTCACTTAAAAATATTCCAGTTGTTCTTAAGGGCTTATTTCGTTGCACCTGATACTTGTTTCAATATCTTCAAATGTTGGACATTCCTTTTAACGTAACAACGTCGGCCCGCCACGCGTGTTCCGCGGCATCGTCGGCTGGCTCCAGCCGCCCGCTCAGGTGGTAGACCGTCGCGCAGTACTTCTAAAAAGCCGTCCCGGCTCCGAAAGCAGAAAAATGAACAGACATATTTTTGGTGTCAAAACACACGCCATGCTTGCCTAGACGTCCATGCATACATGCATATATACACAGGCTACTAAACAGTTGGACACGATTGCACGGCATACCGGATACGTATCTAAAAAGCCTTAGTGGGTCGCATTGACCCCTGCTTTTAGGTCGAGGGTTAATCAGTACTCCTGGCAGCTATATAAGAGTTCGATAACTGTCAGCATACGAAGTACGAGCTCATTATCACTTACACCTGTGTCGCTCATGCCGTGCTACTCACGCCGTGCTGCTGAAAGCGGTGTCATCCAGGGCGTGCCACTCAAAAGAATGCAATTAGAGCAGTCACTCGGACTGTCACTTATGTCATGTCGCTCACATCGCCTCACTTATATGGAATCATTCATTCCTGATCATAACGTCATGTCATTCATGTCATGTCAATCGTAGCGTGTAGCTCATGGCATGTCATCCAGAGCAGTCCGCTCAGAGCAGTGCCCTCAGAACGTTGCACGAGGAGGCACGCTCAGTTTGCAGCACGTCACCTGCCGGTCCTGGACGGACCGGGTGCTGCAGGAGGCGAGCGTGCAGGCACTCGGCGCCCAACAGCATCAGGCTGCACACCACCCCGGCGGCCAGCAGCAGAAAGGCGGAGGCCATCACCGGCAGGCCCAGACCCTGCGGGCACAGAGGGCGCCACCGTAGAGCGGAAACTATCAGCGCTGGGGAGAGCACATCTGGCGTGCAGGGCGCCACTGTACACCAGAGGTCACTAATACCACCGACAGCCCAGATCCTGCGGTTACAGAAGGCACCACTGTAGAACGGAGGCCACCGCCGTCAGGCCCAGGTCCTGTAGGTATAGAGGGC